AGGAATGTTCAAAAATTACTGTACTTGGTAATCAAACCCTTGCAAATCTTAAAACCATTGCTCACTGACACAATAGAACAGGCTACACAGATCAGGTTTACAAGCAAATAAATAGCTCATCTACAAATTAGGTTATGACTGTCATTCATATACATATAACTAAAAATTGTGCACTAAAGTAAATATAAAGATCAGTATAAAAGTATAGGGTCAAAAATAATTATGGAAGCTTCTTTAGTGACAGGATCATCTTAATTACAGCCATTACCAGTTCAGTTTAATCAAAAGACATTAGTTACTGCTCTGACATGTGGGAGCTCTGCAAAACAAACACAAGTGAGCAGAACTCTATCCCTTCCATTCCTCCTATCGTCTCTGATAGGCTTGAGTATTTGCTGGTAACAGAAACCTTACAGAGAACAGAATGAGTCGAGGCTCACTTTCATAATACAAAATAAGTGGATGTTAAGGGGAAAATAGTCCTTTCATATGAATTGAAAGAGAGGAACTTGAAATCATGGAGAAATCACAAAACAGAAATTCTCAAAGCAGAACTGCATGTTAAAGAAGAGAGTCCTCAAATCTATTTTACTCCTGTAGTCACACAGCTCTGCTCAAGAAACGAATCCCTTTATATGCAGTTTATAAGGAGACAGGATGAGCTGCTGAGGGGAGACTTCTGAGGACCATGTTCTCATCTGAAGAATCAGGGTCACTCCCACCTCTAAAATTAAAAAGACCATGACACTGGAATTTCCCTGTCATTCCTAATAAACCCTCAAGGTAACATGCATTCCGTCACATTTCAAGTGTCTCCTTCACACTTTAAGTGAAGTTTTACTATGGATTTTCTATGGATTTCAGAAAACAGATGTTGAAAAATATTCATCAGGACTCTACCTTTTTAGACAGAGCATTCAAAAGAAGCACTGGTACTTATTTCATTGTGTCACATAGTGAACATGGTTGTGACTTCTCTTGTGTATTAAATCTTACCTATTCTGGTATTTAAGTACAACATAGTCGTAGCGACAATAATAAAAAAGGATGTAGGTGGAAGAAGGAAAGACGGGGAGGATTTTTGCTCTGTCAGTTTCTTTATACAGTTTACAGCTCATTTTATCCACTGCTTTAATCCCAAATCATTTCCAGCACTTGTAGCAATCAGGCTACCTGAACTGAGTTTAATGAGCATTCC